CACACTCCCTCCCTAGGCATTGCCACTTTGTGACCTAAAGTAACCCAACACAGTGTTTCCACTGGTACACTGGACATCAGGGCCCTGATACAAGAGACATCCAAGCAATCTTGGGAGGATCCTGCTTGATCTTGGTTTCCATCCTTTGATAGCTTCTGTGAAGGTTGGTGTCAACCTGACAGAACCCAGAATCACCTGGATGATGGACCTTTCGGGCATACCCAGGGGTTATCTTAACTGTATTAATTGAGTCAGAAGACCCATCCACTGTGGGTGGCATCATTCCCTAGCTAAGATCCTGGACTGTAGAAGATGGAGAAGGGGCTGTGCAGAAGGACGCACTCATCCCCGTTTGCTTCCTGCTTGTGGGTGTGAGCAGCTACTTCACACTCCTGCCCAGCTTGTCTTCCCTTCCCTTCCCTCCCTTGAACTATGGGTTGAAATAAACCTTTCCTCCCTCAAGTTGTCTTTTTTACCCCAAAGCCCAGACCTAGAGATGGGTCCAAGAGCAGAGCCTATTATTCATTTATGCTGATGGTGCTGAACATCCATGATCACTGTGGCCCTTCTGACAGGACCTCTGAGGCTGGGGTCTATGGCTCTATTTCCAAAATGAGGATCAGGGACTTCAAATAGTAAGACTCGGCCATTCACATGTTGAGTTCAAGTTCATGGGGGGCATCAAGATGAATAGCTGGTCTTCAGCCTCCTCATGGATTCCCTTAGATAAAGTATTTCTCTAAACTTTGGCAAGTAACAATAGGACCGCCACCTCTGCATGCTGCTGGGAGTGCGGGACTTGCTGAGATGTCCACCCAAAGAACATAGCACGGAGACCGCTTGGCATCTGAGTTAAATTTGGAATCTCTCCGAATTCTCACATTGCACTGACTGAGCTCCTTGCCTAGACTACAAGAAGCTCTGCTTTCCAGCTTGGCCGGGACTCCAGGAAGACCTACCCTGTCGCCCTCTGAGCATCTCAGAAATGTCCCTCCGGCTGTCAGTCCTTCCCTGCCAGCAGTATAAACTGAGCCAGGTTCCAGCGGTCCAAGGAAACTGGCACTCCCAGACACTCAGTAGGAAAGCAAGGGAGACGGTCCTGCTGTGTGACCCCACAGGAGACCCTCCACCTCTCTGCACCTCCATTTCTTCACAGTGACAGGAGATCTGTGAACCATGAAGCCATGGAGGAATGTTCATTTCCTCTTCCACGAACACTGACTTAGACACTGCTCTACAGACAGCTGCAAACAAGACACACTCGTCCCCAAGAGTCTTCCAACGGTGCCTGTTTCCCTGCGTGTCACAAGGGGTTTACATCACTGAATCACTGTGAAGATCCCTAAGTGAGCATGCATGAGCAGCTTAGCTCAGGGCCTGGCACTCCCTACACACCCACCTTTAAAGGCATTCTTCCCTGGGAGTGAGAATTGGAGGGCTGGAGAGATGGATCCGCCATTACAGGCTAGGCTCACTATTGAAAAGATAAGAACTGGGTAAGGGAGCAGAGGGAACGCATTTGGGTATTTGGGTTATAGCTGCACAAAGCGAGACGGCCTTTTACAGCAGCCTGTGTCTGAGCAGACATGATCAAGGGCCTTGCTCCCACTGTAAAGCCTCCTAGACAGAATCTCCTGTTTAGCACATGATGGGGGGTAGTCTCTTGGGTTTGGGCATTGACCTGTAGTGAGATGTTTCCCAGTGTCCCTGGATTCTACCTACTAGAGAGTAATTACATTCCTTCTTCCTAACCATAGTGGCCATCAGAAGTGTCTCCAAACATTGACAAGTCCCCTGAAGGTCCAAGTCAGTCCCCACTGAGAACCAAGGGTCTGGATGATGCTCAAGGGTCTGGGGGATGTAGCACAAAAGCCATACATAAAGGTTTGATCCCAGCGTGTGTAAAATGGGTGTGCGGTGCATGACTGTATTGTCAGTGCTTGAGAAGTAGAGACGGGAGTTCGAGGTGATCTTTGGTTACACTGTGGGTACAAAGTCATCCTGAGATCTAGGAAACCCTGGAGACAGCACACCAACAGACAACAAACCAACCTTTGAGCTTGTATTTGAAAGTCTCTGTGATCCACCTTCATCCCTTCCAGAACTCTTAAGATCCACCTTCATCCCTTCCAGAACTCTTAAGATCCACCTTCATCCCTTCCAGAACTCTTTTTTTTTTTTTTTTTGGTTTTTTTTGAAACAGGGTTTCTCTGTGTGTAGCCCTGGCTGTCCTGGAACTCACTCTGTAGACCAGGCTAGCCTCGAACTCTCGAACTCAGAGATCCGCCTGCCTCTGCCTCCCAAGTGCTGGGATTAAAGGCGTGCGCCACCACCGCCCGGCCCTTCCAGAACTCTTAAGATCCACCTTCATCCCTTCCAGAACTCTTAAGATCCACCCTCATCCCTTCCAGAACTCCTATGATTCACTCTCTTCCCTTTCAAAACACCTGTGGTCCTCCCTCATCTTCTCCAAAACTTCTGTGATCCCCCGTCATCCCTCCAGAACCTCTGTGATCTACCCTCATCCCCTTTCCTCTCAATCACTTCCCTAAGGACCTGCCCTGGCTCAGGCAAGCCTCTGACCTCTACTCCTGGATGCTCCTACCAAGAGCTCCATTCCCACCTCTGTTTTACACACACACACACACACACACACACACACACAGGTTAGAGGGCAGCGTTGGTTCTGCCTTCCCACCTTCTCATCTGGCTCACATACCAAGTGCCTTTACTCACCGAGCCCCAAACTTGCCCTTCTGCCACCCTAGAGTGCCGTTTTTACGCAGCCCTTATCATACAAGGCACTAACTCCATCTTAAATGTAACTGTAGCAGGTGTCTGTCCTTTGCGTCCTGTCTCAGACACTGCCACCCCCACCCCACTACCAATAGCAGTTTGAGGAGGATAGGAGCTCTTCCTGACTTCCTGGTGTGGATGTTGTGTTCTCAGCACCAAGGGCCAGTGTAGAGGCCGGCTGTGAGAATTGTAACCCACTCACACAGTGACATCTGTTACATTGTTACACACCAAATGTAACTCGAATGCTCACACTGATACCAGGTGCCACAAGAGCCACAGGTGAAGAAGCCCGGGAATCAGGGTTAAACCCGTAGAGGCGAAGAGAGCATGAGTCAGGTCCAGATGTTTCTACTTCTAGCTCCTTCCAGAGGACAGTTCCTCAACTTCTCCAAGCCTCAGTGTCTCTGTCTCTAAGGTCGAGATGGTCTATAGCATCCTCAGGTCGTAGGAGTGCTAGGTGAATCTAGTAAAACACATGCAGACTGTCCAGCGCTGTGGTGCATGTCACAAATTAAAAGGCACATCTGATCAGCAGTTAGTCCTGGAAGGATCCAGAAGAGGAATTACCATCCCAATGCCACAGAAGAGGTTAGCATTCACAGGGAGTCAAGCGGCAGTCAATGCCCTTGGCATGGAGGAGAGAGGGGAAAGCTGCTTCCCCGGGCTCCCCTTGGGGCCTAGCCCAGGAAACTTCTTGGACAGTGAGAAAAAAAAGGGCTGCTGGAATCAGTAAGTGGAGACACAGCGCGCGGAGGAGGGGCTGGGAGGGCAGTGAGGAAGGAGGGCGGAGGGCCAGCAGGGAGGCCTCCGGGGAGGCCGCCAGACGCGGTAAATAATTCACAAAGAAGAACTGAAGATGGCCTTCAAGCTCGGGGGATCGGGCCAGGTCGCAAAAGCGCAGACGTCTGGAGGGGACTTGTGGTCTTTCCTGTCTGCAAGCCAAGAATTCTTGTGGCCTTGGCTGCCAGGAAAGCACCGTCCCAGGTGCCACTCCCCCCACTAAGGGAGGGAGCTCCCCGGAACTGCCCTGGCGGGGCAACCTGCCTGCTTGGCTCACATCTCCGCCCAGCCGTCCCCATGGCAACCGGTTGGCCTGGTCCAGGGTTCACCGCCTAGTAGATCCTTGGCCTTCCCTCCCGCTCCCCCTTGCTCCTCATCCTCCCGCACCCGCACGAGAATGAGCACCTCACAATCTATCCCTGAGCTCCGGGGGCTGGGAGCCTTGAGCTTAAATAAATAAATAAATAAATAACTGTGAGAACCCCTCCTTGCACTGGGGCTGCCCATACCATGAGCATAAGGGACCAAACCTAGCTGAATTTCAGTCCCAGTGGGAAAGTAGGCAGATCTCATTGCTGCTCCGTGCCTCATTGTTCCATATCTGTAGAATGGGGTAGAGAACAATAACTATCTAGGAGAACTGCGGTAAAGATTGAGAAATTTAAATAGGGACACGACAGAGCAACCATTGGCCTACAACTAGAGATAAGGGAAAAGTTTTGAGTTTTTTTTTTCTTTTCTTTTCTTTTTTCTTTTTTTTTTAATGAGGGAAAAAATGTTTTTTCACATAGAGAACGAGTCCCAGAGACACAAAATACACTTGCCAGGGATGGTGGTCACACAGCCAGCCCCGGCCGGCCGAAAGGAAGGAAATCGTGAACTCACTGTGAAACTCAAGAGCTGGGTGCTGACAGCAAGCTCCTGGGGACTCCCAAAGAGGTTGCTTACACTTCCCCTGGGTCCACCCCCAGCCCCACCCTCTTGAAATTCAGTCATTGAAAGGTCACAGACCAGACACTGTGGTTTCTGAACCGGAAAAGGCCTCCCTCTAGCAAGCCCCGTCTCCCCAGTGCCAAGCACAAGCCCCGCCCCCTCTCTGCCTGCCAGAAAAAAAATTGTTGAATGAATACGGACTTAATTAATGAATTCACTAAGTTCATTTCCTCCATAAAACACCCTCCCAGGATAAACTCCTGAAACCCTTGGCCACCCAGCTGCGTCCCACAGGGCATCTCTTTCCCTGGCCCGGGGGCGGGGGGGGGGGCGGGCGGCTGTCTCGGTCTGCCCTCCCCCATCGGCTGCCCACCCCTCCCATCGACTCTTCTCTTAGGATTTCCCAGGGCATACTTCCGGGTCCTCCCCAATACAGCCAGTCCTCCCAGTGACTTCCTCCCCTCTTGGTGACCCTTTGTCCTCAAAACAGCTGCCTCTAGGTCAAGGGTGTTCCAGGCTCTGGGGTGTTCACTTCCCCCACCCCCACCCCCGAGTTAGGAACAAACCCTTCAGCATGAAGGGTGCTAAGGTGAGACAAATCTGTGGATCCGGGACCACTTGAAGGGAAAAGTGGGGGGCTTCTGTCGGTCTGTCTGTGATTCTTGGTCCCTCTGGGGTGGGGCCTGGGTCTTTGAACATAAGATCTTTGTCCCCAGGCCGCCCAGCAGGCTTTAGTCCAGCTGCCAGGTTTCCTGGGTTACCGGCATTGCCTGAGATTTATTTTTGCATATGGTTTGGGAGAATCTCTGCTGTTGAATAAGGACAACGTGGTTTATTCCCCCTTCTTCCCTCCGATAGGCAGATTGTGTAAACCAGAGCAGCTGCCTGAGTTTCCAAGAAAAAGATTAGACGCTGCACAGTTTCTAACCAGGATGACAGTTTCTCCACAGGAAGTCGCTTCTATTAATTTGTTAAAAATCTCTTTTTTTTTTTTTTTGCATGGCTCCATCTATCAGTTATCTGACTGCACTGTGGGGGATTTTGTAAATCCTGGGTCTTCTCCCAACCCCGTGGTGTGGCTGGAACTCACGGTTTCTCTGAAATTTTGCCTCTTGCTGGACATGGAACTACTGGACAACGGCTCCTTTGATGGCCTGTGCAGAAGATCCCAAGCTGTGAGGGCACTCCTGCCCCTAAAACATGTGCTTTGCACAGTGATTGCCCTCCCAAAGATGCGGTGTGCACAAAAGAAAAGGGGAGATTCTGCAACCTAGAATCCTGATGGACCCAGCCCGGATGACCTAGGCCAGTACACCGTGTGTGAGCATCATATCTCGCCCGTGCCTCGGACACGATGTGGAGACTCCCTGCCTCCTTCCAATACGCGTCACGCTACTCAAACCACTGGGGTTAAATATCAGATCAGCTCTCACTGAGGGGGTTGAGGAATTGGAAGAGTGTCTGCCTAGCGTGTACAAAGCCTTAGATTTTATGCCCAAACTTCAAAACCTGGAAATTGTGGTGCATGCCTGTAATCCCAGCCCTTGGGAGGTGATGACAGCAGGAAGATGAGAAGTTCGAGGGCTTCAGACTACATAGTACATAGTAAGTAATACTACATACCACATACTACATTCTATATCCAAAACCAGCCTGTGTTTCATGAGAACTTTCTCAAAGCAAAGTACAACACTGTAAGGAGGTACTTTACTTGGGGGCCAGCCTACAATACAGGTCCCCGGTGCTCCATCAGCAAGTCTAAGAAACTAACATAGTCAGTGGCTTCCCACAGAGGCAGGCTGACTAACTGTAACCTGCCCTCCGGTGTGGAGTGCAGGAATACAAAGGGCATTATATAAAAACTAATAAAGTCTAAATAAGCTGTGGGGTTTAGTTACCATTCATGGCCCCATATTGACTCCTTAGTTGGGCAAAATTTGCCAGAACAAGCACCAAATGGTAGGAATAGAAGAAACCGAATCAGGGTTATATATGTTAACACTGTCTTCCCAACTTGTCTGGTATCACCATCATCACCATCATCACCATCATCACCATCATCACATTTCTTTATTGGAAGGTAGGAACACGTGCACGCCACAGCATACACGTGAGGTTCAGAAGATAGCTTTTGGTTATTGGTTCTTTCTTCCTGTGCAGGTCCTGGGGATCAGACAGACTCAGGCCCTTGGGCTCTGAGGCCAGTGCCTTTACCTTGATGAGGCTTCTTGCCCATCATCTGCAGATCACCTTAGATGAGTCTAGGGTTTCACTGGTGTTTTAAAGTGGCTCCTGGGTTTGAGTGCCAGCCCATCCCCAAGCCCCAGTTGTTACTGTTGCCAACACTAAGGAAGTGTGTTGCTGGAGCTTTGGACTCTCCAAGCTCCGTCTTAGGGTTACAATCGCTGCATCGAAAAGAAATGCCATAACCTAAAAAAGCAACTTAGGGAGGAAAGAGGGTTTTTTTTGACTTACACATCCTGAGTCATAGTCTATTGAGGGAAGCTGAGGAAAGGACTGAAATAGGGCAGGAACCTGGAGACAGGAACCTGGAGGCAGGAGCTGATGCAGAGGCCATGGAGGAGTGCTGCTTACTGGCTTGTTCTTCATGGCTTGCCCAGACACCTTTCTTATAGAACCCAGGACCACCAGCCTAGGAATGGCCCCACCCACAGTGGGCTGGACCCTCCCACATCAATCACTAATTTTAAAGTGTCCTACGAGCTTGCCTACAGCTGGATCTTATGGAGTCATATTTTTTTCCAACAGAGGCTCCTTCCTTCCTGTCAGATGACTAGAGTTTGTGTCAAGTCGACATAAAACTAGTCAGCACAGCCCCTCTGTCCCAGTTTCATGTCCCTGGAGGAGAACGATTATTTTTGCACCCAGGACAAGCCCCTAGTTTGTTCTTCATTATACCAGGGAACACAAGGCAGGCACAAAATCAGTACTCACTGAATGAAGCCTGAGGTCTTGTGGCCTGTGCAGAGGCCTAAGCTCGTCCCTCTCCAGGGCGAGCCAGCCCCATGGCTCCCATCCAAAGAAGGAAGACTTCTGGCAAGCTGGGTGGAGGAGATGCCGTAGCTTCGGGAGACACTGCCTTTGGGGAGCAAGCGTACAACTTTATGTAGGAACCTTGGAAAACTGATGGAGGTCACGAAAGGAAGACTGAGTCCCTCAAACCATTCCCATCTCCTCAAGCAGACTCCTGCCCTCTCCACCCCCAAAGACACTGTGTCTGTCTTTGAGTACAGAAGCCAAAAACATGACATGCTGCGTTACCTGACACATAGAAAGGACTTCCTGGATGCTCATACCAAGGGCTGTCACTTTCTGAGTATCAGGCCATGTACTGGGGAGATAGAAGTTCCCATTTTAGCCTTTCCTGGTACACCTTACCATCCTTGTTTTATAGAAGAACCAGAAAGCCAAAGACCTTGCCCCAGCCCATAGCCAGGATAAAGAGTTCAAATCCAAACCATCTAAGTCCTGAATCCACCTGCCACCTAAAGTCAGTTCCCCTCCCTCCTCCTGGGGTAGTCCTCGAACACCTAGAAATTGTCGCCTTCACTGCAGAGGTATCCCAGGCTGACTCCTCCACCTGCCATCTGTGGCAGACAGGAGTAGTCTTCAGGCTTCTCTGTTTAATTAGCTAAGTTTGAAGAAGGCAGCCTGGGACGCTCCAGGTTCATGCTTGGAGGTTTAGAGTCACCCTCCCCCACCTCCATCTTTTTGTTTGTTTGTTTTAAAGATTTATTTATTTTATGTATGTGAGTATATTGTCATTTTCCTCGGACATACCAGAGGAGGGCATCGGATCCCATTACAGATGGTTGTGAGCCACCATGTGGTTGCTGGGAATTGAACTTAAGACCTCTGGAAGAGCAATCAGTGCTCTTAACCGCTGAGCCATCTCTCCAGCCCCCCACCTCCATCTTTTAATAGCCTTTTCCATATTCATTGCTGCCCTCTCCAGACATTCAGACATACCCAGCGTATGGCATATCTGGTATCTGCCCAGTCCCCAAAGTATCTTCTCAACAAATGCTCACCCAATACTAGAGTATATTTAAGAGATTAGTTTTCTTGTGACTGAACGGAGGCCTCTAGAAAGGCAGACTCATTCCAGGCTGAGGACCTGCCGTTGCTACCCAGTGGCCTACAGCAGGAATGTTTTAATACATCACTTATTAAAATGGACCTTCAGCCTTGGCCCAGGACGCTGGGCAGTTCCAGGTGCTGGCTGACCACATCCACACACTGTCCCCTTCTGACCCCCGATGTAGTCTGTTGTGCAGGATGATGGAGACATCAGAGCTTGAGGAAAGCACACCAACACAAGAACTTTCAAAGGCTGAAGGACAATCCTGGAAGCCGGGAACAGAGCCAAAGGCTGTCTGCATCCTCATCCCGGATGGTGGGCTCTGGGTTCCAATCCTGCCTCCTACAGCTAACAAACCAAGACACTTGGCAGGAATTACCCTTTCTGAGACCCACTTTATACTGTGCAGCCAGGTAACAACAGCACCCGTTCCTCTTCCTCGGGGCTGTCGTGAGCCTGGCATTCAGGAGAAGCTCGAGGGATGCGGGTGGTCTTTCTTGTTTCCCTGGGGCCTCAGCTCCTTTGGTGGCTGGTGAGTGAGTGTCACTGTGTTTCTAGGAGTGCTGAGACAACCACATGAGACAGTGACTGCAGTACCAGAAACCACATCCCAATAGCTACCTTTTCGCCTGCCTCAGCCCCCCTTGGCAGATTATTATTTGAACAAAAAGCAGTCCCTAGCCCTAATCCTTTCCCCAGTAAGGATTCCCTTGGCCTTCTGGGGAGGAGGAGGGGGTAGTACATTGTATTGCTTGGCTCTATGGAGCCTATAGACCTTCAAGTCCAAAAGGGAGTGCCTGGGGTCAAGAGGGAAGACAGCCAGATTCAAGAAGAGGACCATGTGCCTGGGAAAATGAAGTTGGCATTTGTTAGCATCCGCAGGCTGGGCACTGCCAGTTCCAGCTCCCCCATCAGTCCCAGTAATGACCACAGGATGAAGAACTCTGGGCTGGGACCTTCTGAGGCTGTCAGACGTAAGAAGGGGGATGAGACATTCGCCCTCCCCTCCCCCGGCCCCTGGAGCCCCTCTTCTGCACCTCCTTCTGTGGGGACTCTTACCTGATGTCTGAGTCACCCGAAAGCTCCTGTCACTGTGAGCTGTGTTGTGACTCCCCAGCTGACAGCTTTACAACAAACACATTAAAAGCTCCAGGCAGTGGGGTTTCTACATGCAAAACAGCCCACGGGAGGGGAGGTGGGATGGAACCTCTTCCTCCTCCCAAGTCCCCTCCCCACAGGACCGTGACCCATCACTGCCTCCAGCTTAACAAGAGCCAGAGCTAGCACCCCACCCTGCCCAACAGGCTTTTCTAATGAGCGATTAGAGACAGGAGTAGCAGGTGCGTGGGACCTCCTGGCTATGCATCCCCAGAGAACACACTCATCCTCAAGCAAGTAACAGTAGGCTCTAGAGGTTACAGAGAGAGAGTGTGTCCACAGCCCAGCCTACAGTGATGTTCAGTGGATGCTGCTGGCAGCCCAGTATGGAAGGTTTTGGTGTACTAAGTATTGGTACTCCTCTTCTTCACCCTGTGAGGCAGAAGTTGGGCTCATTCCTCTTGGCAGATTGAGCAACTGAGGATTACAAACGTTCCAGTTCAGAGAGTAAGGAAATCTGAGCTGGGACCTGATCCCAAGTCCAGACTCCTAGCTTCAGTCTCCACAGAACCTGCAGCCTCCCACCCCACCAGGATGGCCAAAGCCTCAGGGAAGCCAGAAGGAGCCCAATTTACAAAATTCAAAGTCCACTAATTCAGCCATTCTCTGGGGTTAGCCTGGCCCATCCCTCAGCACGCGCGAATTGTTTCATCCCACAGGCCAAAGCCACCATCTCCTTATTCCTGTCAGATGGACAGCAAAGTCCCCGAGAAACAAGGCCAACGAAAGACAGGAGACACAGGAAGAGTTCTTTATTGTACATTGGAGAAATAGCCCTGTGTGCTGGTTCAAGGTGCAACATACAGAATAGAGAATTAAGAAAAGGAGGATCTGGGGGTGAGGGTGGGGGGGGTGGAGACCTCTTGAGGTCCAAAGTTGCAAACAAATAAAAAAAAAGTCAAAGATTCCTCACGCAAGAGGCATTTTTTGCAAATACCATGCAAAACAGGCAGCTGGCGAGCCTTAGGAGAGCCCCTATAAATAACAGAAAAGACAGTCCAAGCATTCCTGTACGAGGACTCAGAGCACAGGGAGAGAAGGAAACCAAAATGCCTTTTGGCGTTTCAAGATATTTGGCACTCTCGTGATTACATTTGTTGTTGTTGTTGTTGTTGTTTACAGTCCATTAAAGAGAATAAAGTGACACAATATTGAAGAAGGAAGAGGGGTTCGCAC